ATCGAAAAAAATTAATATTGCGGTATGACGGTATTTACAATACTGTTACATCCCTAATATATATATATATATATATATATATATATATATATATATATATATATATATATATATATATATATATATATATATATATATATATATATATCTATATAAATAAACCCCTAAAAATGTTTTCATCTATATAAAAAATTTTCCATATATGTTTGAACACATCTTTACTTTTTTCTAAATATGTCTTATATTTTTTTTACTTCTAGAGAAAGCCTATTTTTTTTTTTTTCACCCACAAGAAAGGCGTTTTTTTTTTTCCCTTTCACCAACGTAGTTTCTGAATAACCAGCCCATTTAACCAAATTTTTTTGGACAAGCCTGCAAATGTCACTTTAAGCTGTATAGAAGTGTCTTGAAAAATATCTAGTAAAATATTATTTATTGTCATCATGGCAAAGATAAAATAAATCAATTATTAGAGATGAGTTATTAAAACTATTATGTTTAGAAATGTGTTGAAAAAAATCTGCTCTCCATTAAACAGATATTGGGGAAAAAAATAAACAAGCGGTCTAATAATTCAGGGGGGTTAATAATTCTGACTTCAACTGTATATATATGTATTTTTATTGTTTTTATTTTTATTTTGAATTATCATTATTTTATACTTTTGTTTTTACTTCAATGTGTCAAAAATAAAAATCTGTTAACTTGAAATTTTATGTACAAATTTCAAAATTCAATAATTTATATACATATTTATTAGAAATATCTATTCAATGTTTTGATTCAGAGAGTAAGTCACATTTATCAGTAATTGCCAGACATTAGTCTATTTATATGTTTGCTACAGTAAATGTGTGTATAGACTGAGCTGATACAGTAATTGAGTGAATCTAAATGATTTCCTTCAGTCTCCTGCGCAGTGAACTTTCCTCCGAGTGATCATTACTGTCAGTGTCGGAGAATAAAACGCTCTGGAGATCTGCTGTGTGCGTTCAGATCAAGAGTGTGTCGTCGCAGAGCTTTTTACCGCTCTAAAGGGAAAAATGAAGACTCTTTTAATGTGTGAGGACTCTTAAAAGTCAGACTGCAGTGGCAAACATCCTCTGGTTCAGCCGATGACTCTGTTGATCAGAGCAGTGAAAGAAGATCAACTGGAGGATTTCAGTGCTTCTTTATAGTCTAGACATCTCAGATGTACAGTTAGTCTGTATCATGTCAGATATAACATGACTATAAGATAGCAAAATAGTGCTGTGCAATTATTAATCACATCAGAATTGAAAGTTAACGATCAATAATTACATATATTAGGATAAATATACAGCGGGGAAAATAGGTATTGATATCATCATTTTTTTTTTTTTGGGAGGGGGGGGGGGCTAATAATATTTCAATAATTTTTCGTTGTGTAATTTCATTTTCAACTTGACTTGACTTGAATTGACTTGACTTGAATTGTCTTTTCTTGACTCAAATTGACTTGACTTGTTTTAATTTAATTTAATTTAATTTAATTTAATTTAATTTAATTTAATTTAATTTAATTTTATTTTATTTTATTTTATTTTATTTTATTTTATTTTATTTTATTTTATTATTTTTCTTGTCGACTTAGTCCCTTTATTAATCCGGGGTTGCCACAGCGGAACGAACCGCCAACTTATCCAGCAAGTTTTTACGCAGCGGATGCCCTTCCAGCCGCAACCCATCTGATCCACTAATCAGACGATTCCTAACCCACTATAAAAAGCCAATGTTTCTCACTACAGTCATCTTCGATTTGAAGAATCTCCCCTTCCACCTCTACTTCTCCACCTTTCCTGTTATAGAGTGGCACGGTGGCCGAGTGATTAACACTGTTGCCTCACAGCAAGAACGTCACCAGTTCTAGTCCTTAAACTGGCCGGCTGTTGTTTTTGTGCGTAGCATGTTCTTCCCATGCTCGTCTGTGTTTCCCCTTGGTTCTCCGGTTTCCTCTTACATTCCAAAAACATGCAACTACAAGTGAATTGATCAATCTAAATTTAGCATACTCTTTTTTCTGCAGCATATCTCTTCACAGCAATCATTTTCTGTCATCAGCTCTTATCAAAAAAAGGGGGAGTACTCGAAACCTACCTGAGCTCAAAGCTCCCCTCTCGCCCTGAAAACAGGAGGAGGCCAGGGCTCATGGACCTTTTGAGCTCGGGGCTCTCTCCCGGGATAGCATACCGGTACTTCCCTGCTTGCTTGATTAGATGTTGATATTTGGTTGATTTTAGGTTGATTTTAAGTTGGACATTGATGTTGGGTTCCGACGTCAACCTGATTTTCATTTCTGCACAAAATCCAACATGACCATAACGTTGGGGGTATAATGTCAATATGACACCATGTTGACGTCCTGTGCCTGCAGGGATAATATTAATGCTTTTTTTGCATATGTCGATTTCTTTCCGGGAAAAATTTCAAGTCAACGTCACATTTAGAAATATGTTTGCCGAGAAAAAATGGTGATGTGGTAAATGTTATATAGGACATGATGTGGTATAACTATATTTAGGATGTCTAGACTATAACGGAGCACTGAAATCCTCCAGCTGATTTTCAAATGTTTGTGTGTGTTTTAATTTGTATTTTTTATTTTTAAATGTTATTAGATATTTTTATATTTTTTTCAGTTTTGATTTTGTTAAGTTTATTTTTATTTCAGTTTTAATTATTTAAGTACTTGTTGACAGTAGAATTTTATATATTTGACAAATGTATGTTTTTTTTAATCTAATATTTATATTTTGTTTTATTTTATTTTTATTTTGCATAATAAATAACTTTAGTAGTGTGTTTGTAATATGTAACAGTGATTTTGTTTTTTCTTAAAAGCTCTAATAAAGTTTTACCTTTTTTTTGGAAAAAATGAATAGCTTTTTGCTTTTTAATATAATTTTATGTTTAATTATTTTCTACTTCAGTTAATTGCCTGGTAAATTGACCATTTTTTTTATCTATTTGTTTTAAATTTCATGTATTTCATTTTATTTTATACAGAATATTTTCTAACAGTTTTATTATTTTTATATTATTCGTTTTTTTACCTTTAATTTAAAATAAATTGTTTTGAATGTAGCAGAATATATTTAAAATGTATTTTATTATTTATATATTATGTTATATTATATTATAATATTTATTAAATATTATTGTAATTATATTATATTTTTATACTTATAATTTTTCTCATAATTCTTTTCTCCTAATATTTATTTTTTGCTTTATTTTATTTTATTTTATTTTAGAACTTTTTCTCTTTTTTGCCTTTAATTAAAAAGAAATTATTTTGAATGTAGCAGAACATTTTAAATATGTTTTATTATTTATATTTTATATTACTATTTTTATTAATTATTGTTTTAATTATATTATATTTATTATACTTATTAATTTTCTTATGCAATTTTTCATCTAATATTTATATTTAGTTTTATTTTATTTAGTTATATTATTTAGTTATATTATTTATTTTACTTCAGTTTATTGTTTTTAGTTTCAGAGCATTTATGCACTTAGTGTTAATTCATATTTTTGACTTCTTTTTTTACCTAAAAGTTATGTAAATGTTATGTAATAATATGTTTTCATGTAATTATCTCAAATGATTACGGAACATTTATTTCATCTGATGTTTATAATTAGTTTTATTTCAGTTTTAGATCATTTTAGAGCATTCAAGTTCATAGTTTCTGCTTCAGTTAATATTTTGGAGATTTATGATTTTTCTTTTCAGTTAAAGGTTTGGGTGTTTATGGTATCTTTTTAAAAATTCGATGTCAAATGACTATGGAAAATCTCTCTTTAAATTAAAGTTGACAAATTGATTATATTTCTGCACATTAACATCCTAACTTGTTCTTTTAAGATATTCTTTTTGACTGATTTCTATATATTTCTCTATATATGTCCAGTTTGTCCAGATCAGTGGCCTGGTCTTCAACCCTGGACGCCGGGTCACAATGAAGCCCACAGAGTCACCATCGGACACGGCCGCAGGGTCGTCCTCACCTCATCTGCAACAGTCCATTCCATCGAGATCCTCAACGGAGGTACATCAAATCCATTCGCAAAAAAAAACCCATTAAACTGCCACATAGATTTACATCCTCATGATGAAGGCAGAGCTTGACGTACTTAAATCAAACACACACGTTTCAAAAAAGCATCGCCCTGAGCTCGGAACATTCCAGAATTCTTGATGGGGAATTCCATCACATTCCGTCCCAGTTATCAGCCTCTTTTGATTTTTTTGAAATGGAGCAAAAAGATAAATGGATGAAAATAAAAATAGATGAATTAGTGACAACCATGTATAAAAAAATTTATATTTAAATATGCAAATGGTAATCTGCATACATTCATAGCACACAAATCAGAATATTGGATTCATTTGTGTACAAAAGTCTTGTTTAATAATAAATTATAAAAAATCCTTACATTTATGTAGTGCTTTTCTGGACACTCAAAGCGCTTTACACATTTTTTTTGGAGGGGGGGCATCTCTTCATCCACCACCAGCATGCAGGATCCATCTGGATGATGCCACGGCAGCCATATTGCGCCATACCACACACTAGCTGAATAGTGTAGAGGAGACGTGATAAAACCAATTATTATATGGGGGTAGTTAGGAGGCCATGATGAACAGAGGCCAGTGGGCAAATTTGGCCAGAATACCAGTAGGGTTAAAACCTCTCCTCTTTTTCGAAGGACTTCCTGGCTTTAATGACCACAGAGAGTCAGGACCTCTGCTTAATGTCTCATGCGAAGGATGGCATTCACTGAGCAGTATAGAGTCTCCATCAATATACTGGGTCGTTAGGATACACACAGACCACAGGTGAAGTGCCCCCTGCTGGCCTCACTAACGGCACTTCTGGCAGTAACCTAGCTTTCCCATGTCCTTTCAACATCCAGGTGCAGCCCTGCTTAGCTTCAGTGGGCGACTATGTGAGAGTAGCAGAGAGCTAGCTGCCGGCTTCACGTTGATTTTATTCACACATTAGAAGCAAAGGTTTTTGTAGATTTTGGGTATGTATGTTTTTACTCTATCATTTAGAGGTAAATAACATAATAAACAAAAAACAAACAAATATTTTACCTTTTTTCATATTTATGTAGATTTTTGTTGCTTTACATTATATATGTACAAATCCTTCAGAATTAATAAGTTTATAAATATATGATGACACTCATAAAATAAATAAATATTATTTAAAATTATATTAAAATTATAATATTATTTATCATTATTATATTTATAATAATTCAAATATTTTATTATTTTGAGAATACAACCTTAAAAATAAGTATTTTAATTGAGAAGTAGTATAATATTTATATTAATAAATAATATAAATATAGTATTGGTAATATACTATGTTTGAGCAATATCACACGAGTAGCAGTGTGATATGACTGAATATCAGCACTGGTGGTAGGCTAGTGTTGCCTCAAGGCCTCAGGCTGAGTGCCTTACTGCCCCCCACCAGTTCCCATATACAGCCACATCGTGTCATGACTGTGTATGTCCACTAGATGCCACTGTAGTTTGCCTGCAACTCCCTCCGAACTACAGTGGTGAAAAGAACTACAAATCCATACATTCTTTCGCGCACACACCCGGTCTGTCATATACACTGATTTGCAACCACAGCTGTCTCCGTTCACCGTTGATTACCTGGACTATATATTCAACCATTCATCCTCTGTTTGTCAGTTGGTTGTTGTCCTTGTTGGTATGTTATTCCCAATCTTGCTCTTGCTCTTGTAGCTTGTCTTAGTTGTTAAAGTCTAGTTCGAGTTTAATCTGTTTGAGTTCCTTGTTTTTTTGATTATTTTGTTATTTTGTTACTTTGATTTTTGGATTTTGTCACTGTCGCTGCACTATTTCACATTAAAAATCTGCACTTGGATCCTACACCCTGTTTTTGTTCCTGTTTTCAATCCCGTACCGTGACACATCGCACTGCTACGAGTGTGATATTGCGTTTGTAATTGTGTATGATAAAGAAAATCGAACACAGAGAGTCTCAAAAATCCTTTTGTATGAGGAACTACTTTCTTCCGCCATTCATTCACATCTGCAGCTGATGTCAGAATAGCAGAAAACGCTGCAACTTCACAAGCGTCACTTTAGAGCTAGTATTTAAATGATTTTTTAGCGTAATGTCTAAACTGATGAAATAACAGGTGATTTTGCTCACATTTTAAGATTATAAGGCTGAACGGCATGAAATGCCATCAGTCTACAGAGATTTCCCAGTACTTCTCTGTTGCAATCAGGACTTCACAATAATGAACCCCGAAAAAGCCAAAGCAAAGCAAACACTAGCAGGTTCTGTGGTATAAATACAGCATTACAAAATACCAAAGAGAGAGAGATCGAATTTTGAATGTCACTGACCTGTTTTATGATGATTTGTTCAGCTGTAGTTTGAAACTTACGCTGATAAAATGCTGTTTTTCTCCCCTAAGGTCTTATTATGCAGTTTCTGTCGCCATCTTTTGGCTGAACATCAACCATTAGTTTCTTTGGTCTGTTCAGACAGGTTAATGGCAGCCAATTCACTGAATCCCATGCGATGCTCCGAAACTATAAATACTTAAAATAGACACAATCCTTATAAATAAACTGCCTAGTTGCTATCTAAACCGCTACATTCTCACCTATAAAAGCCTTAAAAGTACATTGAGTTGTCCAACAGCTGCAATATCTGTCAAACTGTAGAGTGTCCTCTGCTTGTTGCTGTATGTTGGTGGAGTAATACACAAGGGTGAAGGGTAAAGAGTACGGTACGATTGCTGTTATTTGCAGAATATTGCACGGCTGTCAGCCAATCAGATTCAAGAACCAGACAAAACTGTTGTATAAATTATAATATTTAATATAATATTAATAATATTCATGTAGGAGTTATGTTATTTATATTATATTTATATGAAATATATAAATATGTTTGTATTATTTAAAAAATTACAACATGTAATTGAGAAGTAGACCCAAAACATTTTTATATATGTAATATTTAGTCTTATAATGTATGTACTTTTTATAGAAAGAGGAAATAAGATACATTAGGTATGAAATGAGGTTAAAAAAGTAGGGCAGTGTACATCAGGGCAGAATACATCCTTTTAAAATATGTATTTTAATTGAAACGTAGTCCCTAAATGACAGACATATTTGTGGACGGATCTAAATCCCTGTGAACACTTTGATTGCTATGACTTTCTGAATAGTGGAGTTATCAGTACAGCATCATGGGTAATGTAGTATTTAAACATTTCCACTGTTAAACATGATTATTGTAAAAAGACGTCATTTGAACAAGTAACTAATGACTGTCTGCATTTAAAGCTTTATAATCATAAAGTCTATTTTGATATGGAGATCATTAAAGTTGCACTCTATTGAAGTTGGAAACTAGCCTACAAGTTTGAACATCTGACTTGATATGTATTGTTTTAGGGAAGCTTGTGATCGCTGATTCCGGTCGGCCCATTTTACTGCGGGCCAAGCACATTCTCATCGGGAACAAGGGCGAACTCCACATCGGCAGTCCAGAATGCCCTTACAAAGGCAACCTCACCATCTCTCTCTTTGGCAGGTACGAACACAGGCTTTGAAAAATCATCAGACATACTGAAACGCTTCTGCTGCCTCTATAAGGGCAACTACAGAGTTCACAAAGTTTCGGAAAGTTTTTGAGGAGCGTTTGAAGGAGAGGAATGTGCTTGATCCAGCTCTGGAGCCTGTAATTTAAACCCTATAAAGCACGCAGTGTCATATTTTATGAGCAGATTTGTAAGGATTCTACATTATTTGCATTCTTGTGATAATATATGAGCCATAAATTAAATAAAAAATAAACAAATAACATGTTGATTAAAGTAAATAAAAGTGATATGCATGTCTGTATGTACATATGCAGAATATGTCATGTGTTTTTGCATATGTTTGAGTGGACTCTTGTAAATATATGCATTTATAAATTGTTAATGGAGGTAGAGTATATGATTAACTAAATGTACAGTTGTGGGTGTATATTTGCATATATTTATTTATATTTATATATGTTTATTTATTATTCGCTGGCACAGGGTGAGTTTGGGGTTTGTTCTTTAAAATAAAAAAAAATGTGAAAAACTTTAAATAAAGTATTAAAAATGAAATTAAGGTTAAATAAATAATGTAATGAATAATAAATAATTGTGTATATTTATTTATATTTTACTTATGTTTAAACTTAATAAAGTGTTAAAAAAGAAACTAAGGTAAAAATAATTAAATAAATGAATAAATAAATAAATAAATAAATGAATAAATAAAGCTTAAATGCCTGTCAAATTTAAATAATTAAAAGAGTTGTATTGTAAAAATATTATTAATAATAATAAACAATAATAACCATATGTGTGTGTGTGTGTGTGTGTGTGTCTATATATATATATATATATATATATGTGTGTGTGTGTGTGTGTGTGTGTGTGTGTGTGTGTGTGTGTGTGTGTGTGTGTGTGTGTGTGTGTATATAAACAAATAAAAAAAATAAATAAAGCTTAAATGCCAGTCAAATTTAAAGAATTTAAAGATAATTTATATTGTAAAAATATTAATAAAAAAATATCAAAATATATTATAAAATAAAATAAAATATATGTATTGTTAACTATAATTCCAAATGTCTTTTCAGGGATTAATGTTTAGTTTAGCAAATATTTAAAAGTGGTTCACTTAAAAAGACCTAAATGAATCATTGTTCTTGAACCTATAACTTTAATAAAGAAGTCACTAATTTACTTTTATGTAATCACTGTCATTTTGCCTTAAAGAAGGCTTTGTAAACTTTCATGTTTAACTTGTAAACTTATATATTTATAATAGTATCACTTTCTTTTATTGTATTAATCCCTATATAGTTTTTTTTTATTATTATTTTATTGTATTACGTTTATTTTGTTTTGATTTTGTTTAGTTTTGTTTAGATCAGTTTTGTTCTGGTTTTGTCTTGTCTTGTTCTTATCTTGTCCTGTCCTGACCCTGTCCTGGTTTTGTTTTGTTCTAGTTTTGTCTTGTCTTGTCTTGTCTTGTCTTGTCTTGTCTTGTCTTTGTCTTTGTGTTTGTCTTTGTATTTGTATTTGTCTTGTGTTTTTATGTCCTAACCTGCCTTGTCCTTGTCCTTGTCTTGTCCTATCCTGCCCTGCCCTGTCCTTGCCTTGCTTTTCCTGTCCCCATCCTGGATTTGATTAGTTTTGTTCTGGTTTTGTCTTGTCCTGCCCTGTCCTGTTCTTGTCTATTATATTATATTATATTATATTATATTATATTATATTATATTATATTTTATTATATTATATTATATTATATTATATTATATTATATTATATTATATTATATTATATTATATTATATTATATTATATTATATTATAAATCATGTCATTTCATAATTGCATCATGTCAGTCTAGAATTTAAAGCCATTTTTAATTCAAATTATAAATGATGCATAAACAAATCTATTCATTTGTTGTTGTTGTATTGGAAAAGGTCTGACGACAGTGAGGTCGAACACAGCTATTTTGGCCGAAAGTACGTTGGCGTCGGAACCGGAGGAACCTTAGAGATTCACGGAGACAAGAAGCTGTCATGGACTTTCCTGAACAAAACCCTGCATCCGGGGCAGGGAAATGAGAACAGCTACCATTTCGAGAGGAGCTGGGGAAACAGAGGCATCATCGTTCACATCATCAACCCCAACACCGGAGACGTGCTTCACACCGACAGGTCAGTGGGACACCATTACAAAACGTTCGGCTTTATTTCAAATCATTGACTATGTTCACATGAACATCAGTAATCTAATCTCAATGTTTGAAACTAATTGAGGTAGAATAAATTATGGGTATTTATATTTTTGTTAACTACTCCTTTAAGGCACAGATGTCAAATCCAGTTCTTTGAGGGCCGCAGCTCTGCACAGTTTACTTCCAACTCTCCTTCAACACACTTAACTGTAGGTTTCAAACAAGGCTGAAGGACTCAATTAGTTTGATCAGGTGTGTTTAATTAGGGTTAAAGCTAAACTGTGCAGAGCTGCGGCCCTCCAGAAACTGGATTTGACACTTGTGCTTTACGCTGACCTGTTCATTTAACTACTGAGTTATATTAATCAACTACATGTACTTACTATATGGTTAATCTGAGTTAGGTTTAGTGATAGTGACATGCAATTATGTATAATTAATTCTAATTACTATATAGTAAATTTGTAACACTTAATAAGCTCATTAGCTCAGTTCATTGCTTCTTAAGCATATGCATATTGGACAAATATAACCATTTTTAGCTGTAAAAAAAATATAATTATTCAGTAAAATATTCTGACCAAAATCACATAATTACTTGTACTTAATAAATATTTGAATAACAAAAAATATATATACACTCACCTGATACTGGTACACCTTACTAATACTTGGTTGGACCCCTTTTGCCTTCAGAACTGCCTTAATCCTTCATGGCTTAGGTTCAATAAGGTAATGGAAATATTCCTCAGAGTGCTCTATTGGATTGAGTCTGGTGACTGTGAAGTCCAATTGAGTATTTTGAACTCATTGTCATGTTCAAGAAACCAGTCTGAGATGATTCAGGCTTTATGACATGGTGCGTTATCCTAGCGAATTGTATCCTGTCTTAAATGACAGGAGTGGCACCCGGTGTGGTCTTCTGCTGCTGTAGCCCATCCGCCTCAAGGTTGGAGGTGTTTTGTGATCTGATTAGATCTGATTAGAAATTTACGTTAACAAGCAGTTGGACAGGTGTACCTAATAAAGTGGCCAGTGAGTGTATATTAAACTACATCTTAAATGCTCAGTTAAAATTCATATTTCAAAAGCTGCATTCTTAAAACAATTGAAATGATAGTAATAAAATTGATTTTTGAATTAATTTGCAGTATTTAAGACAAGTCTATTATACATATCTGTAATTAAATGACCTCAAATTTAAAGGTAATCTCATACTTGCCTTTTTTATCTGTGAATTAAAATGTAATTAAAGTAACTAGTAACTAATTACACCCAATGCCTGTTTCTAATGAATTCATTTTGATGGATTAGAGGTTGGTACTTCAGTACATCGTGCAAAACCAACTAACTGATGTTTTCAATGTGCGGCTGTAATTAAAACAGTAATTACAAATCGACTGTCAAAACAAACTGCGCTTCCAAGTTGGCATCATTGCAGGCGATTGATTTGCGACTATTTTTTCCCCTCACAGAAAAAGAGTTTCTGTTATTGAATCGCAGACTTCAAAACAATCATTCATACTCAGTGTGCTTACTGGCTTCTGTGACGGTTCTTGACTGGGCTGTGATTAATATCTCTGACCCACTTTTATGTGTGTGTGTAGATTTGACACATATAGGAGCAAGGACGAGAGCAGACGGCTGGCCCAGTACGTAGACGAGGTTGAAACCGGGCAGATCTTGGCTATGGTGGTTAATGACGAAGGATCCAACAACCTGGAGGATCTGGCTAAAAAGGCTCTCTCTAAGCTGGGGAGCCGGCACTTCCATCGACTCGGTTTCCGGTAATCTGCCCCATTTCCAATGCCTCCTTGTTTATAAACGATATATATAGTTTGCTTCAGCATTTAGACGTGGATTCATTTCAGTGAAAATTCTATGATTCTTGTTGCCCTGATTTACTAAACATGGCACGTTTAACATTTAGTCATTTACATGATTTTGTCCAAAGCAACTTGCAATTGAGGAGGCATTCAGAGATTCAACAAGAAGAGGCAACACACACAAGAAGTGCTAATTATACAAATATAATGAATGTGCTCAGGGAACAATCTATTATATTCTATTATTCTATTTTTAATCATTTTTATAGAGAGAAGAGTGTTTTTACAGATCAGGCACATTTTGTTTTAGAGCTATGGAGTGACTGTAGGAAAGTGTCTGAAGCAAATGTGCAAAACTACCCATTTGCTGCTGTCTATCTGCAATACACTTTCCGGCCACTTTATTAGGTACACCTTACAAGTACCGGGTTGGACCCCCTTTTGCCTTCAGAGCTGCCCTAATCCTTCATGGAATAAATTCAACAAGCTACTGGAAATATTTCTCAAAGATTTTGCTCCATGTTGACATGATAGCATCCCGCAGTTGCTGCAGATTTGTCGGCTGCACACATCTATAATGCGAATCTCCCGTTCCACCACATGTCACGTTCGGGTTAAGGGAAGGATGAGAACTCATGTGCAGAAACTTAATGGGTTTATTAAAAATAAAAAAATAAAGCAAAAAGGCAATCAAAGCAATGCAGAGGGGGGAAACATTAACTGAACAAACAAACTTGACTGGACAGGCTGGCAGGGATCAGGGCTGGAAGACTAGACAGGATTTCGAATTGGCACAGGACAGCAGACATAAGAAGAATATAAGCTGAAATAATTAACACACAAACAGGTGAACTGAATATACTAATAATAAGTTAACAATAAGGGTGGGACTAGACAACAGACAGGAGAGCACATGACACAAAGAAACAACATAAGCCATGTGTTCACATAAAATGAGACTAGAACATGCAGCCATTGAGAGAACTCATTAACCAAGTGTTCACTAGAGACACTAAAGCTGCGGTCACACAAGAGTTGCGAAATTCTGTTGTATGGTGCTGCGAGAATGGGCGGGATTAAACAAGATGATTAGACATTTTAAAAAAGCAAGCGATTGGTGCATGTTTTAAATTCTTGTTCAGAGAGGTCATGTTTTAATCTTCGATTGGTCTTAGACAATCATGTGATGCGATTTTGCAGGTTAGAGTTCACTAATCTTAAACTTTCCAACGCAGCGAACTGCGCATGAGCTTGTGTTTCCGGTCGCGTGCGTATGAATGGAAGTCTATGCGAAGAAAATTGCAGTGTGACCGCAGCTTGAAGCATGTGGCACATGTAAACATGTACCATGTGCTAAACACAACACCAACAGAAGACACGAGAACATGATAAATGACAACACTCGTTGTGCACTCACACATGCAATGTGCGTGTTTCATTCTAACGCCAGCCGAAACCAAAAGCAACTAGACTAATACGCTGAGAATGAAACACCACGCTGCAAACAGAACAAACACAAACACCGGGACAAGAGCAGGCATCCCAGACGCGGCCGAGATGCGCTCATACAAACGACACACAATGACAGAAAATGAGGGCTCAACCCGAAAAAACTCGAGCCAAACACAACATACAAGACATGATAGGACTAGTGTCTGGACTCTGCCAACAGAACAAGAATTAACAAGACCAGATTGGCAGAATCCTGACACACCATTCCAAAGGTGCTCTATTGGATTGAGATCTGTTGACCGTGGAGGCCATTTGAATACTCAACTCATTGTCATGTTCAAGAAACCAGTCTGAGATAATTCACGCTTTATGCCATGGCATGTTATCCTGCTGGAAGTAACCATCAGAAGATGTTAAACAACAATATTCAGGTATGGCATTGACACGATGCTCAATAGGTGCTAATGAGCCCAAAGTGTGCCAAGAAAGTCGCAGCAGAAATGGAGAATCATCAAACTAGGCAACACTTTTCCAATCCTCTATCGCACAGATTTGGTGAGCCTGTGCCAATTGTAGCATCAGTTTCTGTTCTTAGCTGACAGGAGTTGCACCCGGTGTCTTCGTCTGCTGCTGTATCCCATCCGCTTCAAAGTTGGACGTGTTGTGTGTTCAGAGATGCTCTTCTGCATGCCTACGTTGTAACGAGTGGTTATTTGAGTTACTGCTGCCTTTCTATCAGCTCAAACAAATCTGACCATCCTCTGAGCTCTGCCATCAACAAGGCATTTGTCACTGGATATTTTCTCTTCTTCAGACCATTCTCTGTAAACCCTAGAGATGGTTGTGCATGAAAATTCCAGTAGATCAGCAGTTTCTGAAATACTCAGACCAGCCCGTCTGGCACCAACAACCATGCCACGCTCAAAGTCACTTAAATAACCTCTCTTTTTCATATCCTGATGCTCTGTTTGAACTGCAGCAGTTTGTCTTGACCATGTCTTCATGCCTAAATGCATGTAGTTACTGCCATGTGATTGGTCAATTAGAAATTTGCATTAACGAGCAACGGG